ATGGAATGGAATAGAATAGAATAGAATAGAATAGAATAGAATAGAATAGAATAGAATAGAATAGAATAGAATAGAATATATGGAATGGAATGGAATAGAATAGAATAGAATAGAATAGAATAGAATAGAATAGAATAGAATAGAATAGAATAGAATAGAATATATGGAATGGAATGGAATGGAATAGAATAGAATAGAATAGAATAGAATAGAATAGAATAGAATAGAATAGAATAGAATAGAATAGAATAGAATAGAATAGAATAGAATATATGGAATGGAATGGAATGGAATGGAATAGAATGGAATAGAATGGAATAGAATAGAATAGAATAGAATAGAATATATGGAATGGAATGGAATGGAATGGAATAGAATAGAATAGAATAGAATAGAATATATGGAATGGAATGGAATGGAATAGAATAGAATAGAATAGAATAGAATAGAATAGAATAGAATAGAATAGAATAGAATAGAATATTCTTTACTGGCCAAGTATGATTGGAATTTGCCTCTGGTTCATAAGCTCTCAGTGTACATACAAACAACAAAGTGATATGTCAACTATCTTGTTCTCAGTTACATAGAGGACCTAATGGGCCTTTCCCTGTACAGGTGGTTTGGATAATAATGAAAAAGTGCACATGAGGATCTTGCAAACTGTTTACAAGAAACTCACTGGCTCCCGGTTTGATTGTGCCCGTTATGGAGCCCACTGGGAAGATCTTGGATTTCAAGGTACGCTGAGTGTCGAACAAGAGTCTTCACGTGAGCAAATATACAGAAGGGGGAGCCTGGTTTCATTCTCTTTCATGACCCTTGGAACAAAGAACGTGCCTGTTGGCCATTTGAAGTGATCTGTGCTTTTTCTCTCGTCCACCAACATCATCACGTTGATTTCTTCCCCTTCAGCACATAGATTTCCAGAGGACCAGGGCAAGCGGTCACCAAAATATTTGTAGGAGGGTGAGGAGATGCAGATCTCCTGATTTCCCCTCTTACTCCCCCAAATGCACAGACCAGGAGGATCATGCTCTGCCTACTTCTGGCACTGTTTGAATTTCCCTGCTGAGTCGATAGGCAAGTTTTGCAATTTCCTTACTTCTTACCTACCTGAACAAAAGTCTTTAAGCTAAACACAACCCCCACATCATCCCACACATACATGCGAGGTGTCCTTTTACAGCACACTAACTCGTAATGTCACAACTGATATCTCTTCTTCCCATAGCCCAGGGGTAGGCAACCTTGGCTCTTTTATGACCCGTGGACTTCAACTCCCAGAATTCCCGCCTCAGGAATTCTGGGAGTTGAAGTCCACGAGTCATAAAAGAGCCAAGGTTGCCTACCCCTGCCATAGCCCATCCCCTTATCTCTAAACAGATCCATAAACCATCAATTTTTCAACTCTGTTGCCAGCAAAAAGCCCACAAAGAGTTGCTCAAACATTGCAAAAAAAGGAGCCTTATTTTAACCTTGATCAAATCAGCCGACTTTATATTCCTTCCTTTTATTTCTAACCATCTTCGTCTTTAATTCTGTCACATTTCTTTGGTGTGCATGGTTTGATTTCTTTACCCATTGCATGTTTCTCCAAGGCTTTAACACGCCTCTTTTGTAGATCCAGTAAGAAAACATTTTCCAGACCATTCTCTTGGTCTCTAATAGCTTTAGAACAGGGTCTTCATACTTGGCCCTTTTATGACTTGCGAACTTCAACTCCCAGAATTCCTCAGACAGGCACTCTGGCTGAGGAATTCTGGGAGTTGAAGTCCACAAGTCCTAAAAGGGCCAGGTTTGAAGACCCCTGCTTTAGAATAATTAATAGGCAATTTTTGCAGCTGGACATAATTTCTGAAGCTGTATAGGAGATAATTTTTGAAGCTGCACAGGAGATAATTTTTGAAGCTGCCTAGTCCTCAAGGTATGTCCCCAACCGAGTCCAAAATTTCTGTTGCCAAGGAAGACCTTTGTTAAGTGAGTTTTGCCCCATTTTATGACCTCTTTTTGCCACCGTTCGTAAGGGAATCCCTGCAGTTGTTAGGTTAGCAAGAGCTTCTCCCGTTGACTTTGCTTGTCATAAGGTCGCAGGAGGTGATCACATGATCCTGGGACACTGCAACGGTCATAAGTATGAATCAGGTTGTCCAGGGTCTGGATTTTGATCACGTGACCCTGAGGAGGCTGCAAGAGTCATTAAGTGTGACAAACGATGATAAGTCACTTTTTTCAGTGCCGTTGTAACTTTTGAGTTGTTACTAAACGAAGTAAGTTGAGGACTGTCTGTATTTCAATGGCACCTCATGAGAAAGAGCATGGCTTTTTCGTTAGGTTACTTTAATGCCAGCTATACCTCAAGTATAGCAATTTACTGTCTGGAAGCTTGCTTAATACACGCAAGAGCATTTCTTGGTGTGACTTTAAACAGCCTCTGGATGTCTTCTACCCTCATAAGGAATGGATCCCGGCACAGATCTACGTGGAGCAGGGCTGCTGGGACTGATGCAAACCCTTTATTTTGTGATGGATTCTCGGATACTACCTGTAGCTAGAGAAATTTTCAAGCTGTCCCATCATGAAGTTCAGGTACGTTTCCTCGTTTTCTCCGCTTCCGTCTTCAGATTGTCCTTTTGAAAGAGCGGTTGTGGTGTACGCCCGTGCTGAAAACGGAAGCTTTCGGGCTGGTCATTTAAAATAACGCTTTTTTCAAACTGGGCAAGTCGAAGCTGGACCGGGAGTTGAAATCCAGGCCAGCTTAAAACTTGCCAAATTTGATAAACCCTGATTTGAAACATGCCAGCTGTTTTTATCTCTAGCAAAGCCAAAGGGATTGCGTTTTGTAGGCAGGGCTCTTTTAAAAAATATAGCTTTTTTTTGTTTGT